GTGATCGGGAGCTGTACGGGCTATTGTGAATAGCCCGTACAGCACCCCCTCGGTTCTCCTGAACCGAAGGGGTCCTGGGGCCGAAGCTAGCCGAAGTATCGGCCGAAGCTACGGCCAGATCCTTCGGCAGCTTTGTGAATAGACCCCATAGACATTTGTCCACTCATAACATGTTCATTAAAATATTCTAAGCAGTAAAATATATCACCAGCACACCAAAGAAAAATACGAGTACTCACCCAAATACTCAATCCGCAGGGATTCCCCCCTCCCTTTTCCATTTTTCCAGCGCTGACTGGAGGGATGGACAGGGAGGGGGTGGGCTCTCGAGGCAGAGCCAGCTGTCAATCAGGCAGAGGGGTTTACCCCGACAATATTATAGGGATCCGTCCTGGCTGCAGCATAGCTCTGCACTTTCAGCATATAGTGTGCAATAGCCCACTATGTGCTGAGTTTTGGGGCGCAGGAAGGACATCATTTATGGCCTTCGTGTGACTCTAAAGAGAACTATGGCAAAAGTTGGGCCATAGTTCTCTTTTAAGAGGACTAATTCTTTAAATTGCATTATGTCTACTGAAAGCTGCACCTACTTAATTCCAGGCTCTTTGGAACTTAACACATAGTGAAAAAAATGCGTATATGATTAAATTCAGAGAAAGGGGCCATAAAATATTTCCTGAAGTATTTAGCTGAACCATTATGTATGGAAGTGTAATTTACATATATGAAAAGGAGAGGGCATGTGGCCCATAAAACACCAGTTTGACACGTCTGGTCTAAGGAATGGTGTGGCCATGCAAGGCAAAGCAACAGGTTCACTTAACTGCCCCTCCCCAGCTGCATATATTCCCCTTCCGTTACCCCCCTGCTCTGGGTGTGCAAAGTGGAAGTCATAGGGGTCTATTCACGAAGCTGCCGAAGGATCTAGCCGTAGCTTCGGCCGATCCTTCGGCTAGCTTCAGCCCCAGGACCCCTGTACGGCTATTGACTATAGCCCGTACAGCTCCCGAACGTGGCCGAGCGGCTCAGTCGAGCCAAACGCATATGCCTCGGCTCGGCTGAGCCGCGCTGAAAGCCGAAGCTGGCCAAGCTTCTGACAGCTGGGCGGAGCCAGCCGTGATCTTAATGCGAAGCGACCCGATGTACGGCTGCTTTCAGCCGATATACGGCTGAAATCAGCCCTACAAGCCTGAAGTGAATAGCCGAACAGTGTTCGGCTCACTTCACTTGGGGTCGGTTGTTCACTCGGCTGCCCTCGGCAGCTTAGTGAATAGACCCCATAGTGATAACACAGGGCTGAGGACTCTTCCATCTCTCATGTGACAGCACTTAGCCAACCACCAAGCATTAGTACTGTCACGTAGGAGAAAAAGAAGTGCGTGACATGCTACTACATACCATTAGGAACCTGGTATTTTTCTTTGTTCTTTGGTGACTGTATCAAGGGCGGTGAAGCAAAGGGGAGGTAAATTTATACTGCTGGGAATGGGGGAAGGTAACTCAACCTTTTGCTTTACCCTGCAATTAGTAAAGCAAACTTTAAAGAGAGATTGTTCTTTGCCTATACAGTCAAAAGTAGCAGATTCATTTCACGTCAGGTTCTTTAAACAGTGTGTATATATTTTCCCTGTACCCTCCTGCCACCTGAATCCACTACCAGACCACCTGAGACTTACCTGGTGCTTCCAGCTATGTTGAAACAAATGGCACTTCATCTGTCTCCTTGCAATGAAACATCCAGTGCCTCAGCAGCTGGTTTTCCGACCCAAATGTTGTCAATTTGTAACTGGCTCAGCAAGTTTCAACTTACACAGAAATCTTGAGCAACCTGGTGCTAAATATAGGTGTCAGGAGAGTTCCGGGAAGAAAAGTAGACACTGCCTAAAGAGTGTCACTTTGCCCATTCAGGGTAACACAGTGTCTCCTGATAGCCCACCCTTTAGACAACGTTTTTACCGATCTATGCTACTTGCCACCAGCCTGCTGCAGAAGTCCACCCTGAGTAAGGTCCAGTGTCTGATTGGTGCTTACCTGGGTGGATGATGTCAGCCCCCCTTCACCACATGCCAGTGCACTAGGCTTTCCCCAGGTTACAGTGCATGAGCCAGAGCAGCCAATCATCAGGCTCAAGCTCGGTCTCAAAATTGAGGGCACATGCTCCCCCATTCCCACAGTATAAGCCCTGATCCTTTAGTGCATTGGAGTGGGGGTTTGAATGGAGCTGGCAAAACTGCACATATTAGTAAGTATACCTTGTTGAGGGGATGGGCTATCAGGAGGCATTTTGCCATTTAGAACAAAGTGAAAGTGGCCCTTTAAAGTCCCTTTTGTAAAGTGAACCTGTACCTTGCCCAGATTGGAAAAATGAAAGGTTTACTTTAACAGTTTCCGCATTGCAAAATGATCATTTGAACACTTTTGCATTATTCAACAAACAACATATAAAGAAGATTGAATTACCTTTAAATGCAATGAGTTGTCAAATGTTACCACAAAAGTGTATTTTAGTAAATGTAGTAAATATATGTATCCTATATGCCTTCAAGCCAATCTAAAACAGATTGCATTGCTGCCTGTGAAATAATAGCTGCTATTTTATAAACACGTAATGTCTGTATAATGTGTAAGTGCTTAATCACAGTAACAGAGATGACTGGGAGAGACGGAGATTAGACAAAGAAATATGGCTGACTTCAAATGAGCAACTACTCTGACTGTCAGGGTGATGTCTGATAATGCAGTTAGGATTTTGTGCAGACAATTTGTATTCTCCTGGTACAAGCCATATATAAAGATCCTAGCCACTAGCAGACACTCCGTCACCTGGTCATCCATCTTTTGCTCTTACATTCAAAGGCTGGCCTTCTAATAGCTTGTTTGTTCTGCAGATTTACTGCCTGCCAAAAATGGAGAGGAATCCACCATGCAGTTCCTCCTGGAGGTGGTTGACATTCTCTTGAATTATGTGAGGAAAACCTTCGACAGATCCACTAAAGTCCTGGATTTCCACCACCCTCACCAGCTCCTGGAAGGGATTGAAGGCTTTAATCTGGAACTGTCAGACAACCCTGAGTCCCTAGAGCAAATCCTGGTGGACTGCAGGGACACTCTGAAGTATGGAGTACGAACAGGTATATATCTAATAATTATCTACAGGGACTTCTGCGCTCGATTAATCTAAGAAAACTGGGCGTCTCTCCTTACAGCTGCTCACTTAAATTAGCTACATGAGCCTGCATTAATATCATTCAAATATGTGAAGCAGCGCTATCACCCAACAAGTAAACAAATATGTGCAAAAACCAAATATTATAGTGAGAGAAAAGAAAAAAAATATGTATATATAATATTTTTCAAACATTTTCCAAATTAAATCTTCTAGTCAACTGTTTGTGTAAATCACAAGGTGATAATCTAAAAAAAACTCCAAATGACTAATAAAGTAGCACACGTCCTGTGTCAGTGTGTAAAACACATAATTGAAACAAAGTGTCCATACATTCATTTAGCGCAGGCAGCTCTCTCAAAAAAAAAAAAAAGTGTTGTCTTAGTCTTTCTTTGTGCGCCACTCTGCCCACTCTTGTAATTTCTTGTGTATTTTTTGCTGAAGTGCTCACAAAAAACACCAGTGCTCTGATAAATAAGCCTCTCACCTCCGTGTTCAGACCCTTGGGTCTCAAAGCGCTTCTTATAGGGTAAAACTCCTTCCTCACACCATTTGAAGCTGTGATCTTCCTTCCTTCAGATGAGACCATTCCTGATCTTAAAGTTTTTCTCCTCTACCGACAGCCCAACTTCATCTCAAAAAGATCTGTCATAGACAGAAGTGGAAATCATAGCGCACACCCCATATGCATAAAATGATTTTATTTAAAAAATACACTCACATAAAAATGAATAAAATCACATTCCTGGATGTCAGATCTGTCCTCCTCTTTTCCTCCAGGCGTTCTGACATCACTGACTCAGCTTCTACGCGTTACGTCTAATTGACTTCATCGGGAAGCTAGAGTCAGTGAGTTCATCAAGCTCATATATACAAGCACTCTATTAACCCTTAAGGTGCCCATACACCTTACAATTATCTGCAGATTTTCTGTGGTCAGATGCAAAAAGTGCAACAGATTGGCCCAGGTGGAAATTACTCCATCCACACAGTTAAGTGTAGATGGAGGAATCTGTTGCACCTTTTCCATCTGACCACAGAAAATCTGCAGATAATTGTAAGGTGTATGGCCAGCTTAACTATGATAACTATCTTAAACTATTGAAATCTATGATCTTCACATTCATACAATCTAGACCAATGCCACAAAAAATATACAATTATGGTCTGAATGTAGAGTTTGATTTAAATTGTTTTATTAGTGATTTTTAATGTGGGTTCCAATAGATTGTCTATGTTTGTTTTAAATTAATGGGGTTTCCGCAAATAGGGCCAGTGGATCCATCTGGTCCATTATTGAGAACCATCATATTACTCCTTATTGTGTCATTTTCATAGCATACACAGAGAATGGGAGATAGGAGAATGTGTACACAGGTGCAAGTTGTTAGTCTATTCCTTTTTCATTTTGCACTCCGCATAGCTCCCACACACACGTTAGTGCCATGGAAGCAGTTATGGTTGTTTTATTTGATTTAATAATTGTATGTTTATGTTGGCATTGGTCTAGATATTATGAATGTGAAGATCATAGATTTCAATAGTTTAAGATAGTTATCATAGTAAGGGTTAATAGAGTGCTTGTATATATGAGCTTGAACTCACTGACTCTAGCTTCCTGGTGAAGTCAATTAGACGTAATGCGTAGAGTCAGTGATGTCAGAACGCCTGGAGAGAAAGAGGAGGACAGATCTGACATCCAGGAATGTGATTCTGATACGTGATTTTATTCGTTTTTATGTGAGTGTATTTTTTTAAATAAAATCATTTTATGCATACGGGGTGTGCGCTATGATTTCCACTTCTGTCTTTGAGAAATCTTTTTGAGATGATGTTGGGCTGTCGGTAGAGGAGAACAACTTTAAGATCAGGAATGGTCTTATCTGAAGGAAGGCAGATCACAGCTTCAAATAGTGTGAGGAAGGAGTTTTACCCTATAAGAAGCGCTTTGAGACCCAAGGGTCTGAACACGGAGGTGAGAGGCTTATTTATCAGAGCACTGGTGTTTTTTGTGAGCACTTCAGCAAAAAATACACAAGAAATTACAAGAGTGGGCAGAGTGGCGCACAAAGAAAGACTAAGACAACACTTTTTTTTGAGAGAGAGAGAGCTGCCTGCGCTAAATGAATGTATGGACACTTTGTTTCAATTATGTGTTTTACACACTGACACACGACGTTTGCTACTTTTTTAGTCATTTGGAGTTTTTTTAGATTATCACCTTGTGATTTACACAAACAGTTGACTAGAAGATTTCATTTGGAAAATATTTGAAAAATATTATATATACATATTTTTTTTTTCTTTTAACTCACAATAGTATTGTTCACTATAATATTTGGTTTTTGCACATATTTGTTTACCTGTTGGGTGATAGCGCCGCTTCACATATTTGAATGATATATATCTAATAAACTGTGATGGATAATTAAAGGTGAATTCCATGCTGCAAGTGAAACCATGGAATCAGTGAAGTAATGCATTACTGAGCACAGAACTTGTAAAAATCACAATGCCCACCCAATTTACCTTAATCTCTAGAGAGAGTTAGCTCTCTGTAACTCACTGCGGTCACAGCACACACAGACCACCTCACAGGATAGTAGGGCAGTAGGAGTGTTCTTTCTGAAACCTGTACAGTCTAAGTTACTTTCCCTGCTTCTTACATTACCAATCAGACTCAGATTTCTATGAAAGCTTTTCATTTGGTGACTTAAGCTGGTCGTACACCCTTCAAATTTATCCCATGCAGCCCCGCAGACTGAACGAAAGAAATTAATCAATTCCTCTGTCCACGCTAAACAGGGTGGTTGGAGGAATGTGTAAGTTGAAACTTGCTGAGCCAGTTACAAATTGACAACATTTGGGTCTGACAACCAGTTGCTGAGCTTAAGTCACCAACCTCCGCTGCTCCAGCCCACTACTCAGATATCAGACTATTCAGCCGGAATCAGGCAAAATTCAAGCAGTGTATGGCCAGCTTTACAAAGACACTTTATTAATACCATTAAAGGGAGTTGGGTGGATTAATGCAACATGAAAATACCTAAATGAAAAACTGAAGCACTGAGCAGGTAAACTGTATACTAAAAACCTATAATAATCTATAATAAAAACCTATAATAATCTCAAGGCCTAATATTCAAATGTTCCACAGCGTACTTTTTTTTCTTATCATAATCTATTCCCATATGCTGCCAAGGTACATTGGTGTCTTATGTTGCCCATACATGCAACTACTGCCAACATACTGTATATACCCAAACATTTTCAGTAGCTTGAAAGGAGAGTTCAGATGAGGTTTAGGATATATATTCCTCCTGGGCCATGCTTGCTTTTACAAAAAAGTAGGGCGGTTACTGATTAAAATTTTCGTGTTCGATTAATTTACATTTTTTTTAATCGATTAATTTTGATTAATTATAATGCACATACAGATCCAACTACATTGGCCTATGCACATACAGCACAGTAATGAAGTAATAAAATGAACTAGCATCACACTAATCCAGCACGTTATAGTAAGCAATCTGCCACCCATGGACCCACTCAGTCTTTGCCTTTAATTTTTGTAAATGTGCCAAATAAGCAGCATTTACTTAATAGTAATATATATCAACACAGGAGCTGAGTAGTGGAAATCTCTGAGGTAACACTTTTCTAAAAAGATTGTCATTCTCATATAACACCAGACCTAAAAGCATCACAGGGGAAACATCTCATTAAGTTAAACTGCAGTGATTTGGAAAAGACAGCTATTTCTTTACACTGGGAGCCTGCATATATCTATAGAGCCTATGTGTGACATGAAGCGTACTCACTGATTGTGAGCAAGGCTGGAGGGACAGAGCGGTGTTCATTATCCTCTTTATGGATAATCAGCTGCAGCTATGCACATAATGTGTAGTTTAAGTCTTAATGAGAAGAGTCTTAATATGCCAGGTCCAAAATGACAAATCATTCCATGCTTAACGTTCCTTAAAAGAAATAAAATGTTGGTAAAGTCTTGTTTACAATCTAGATACATTTATCAGTGCCTGTTGTTTTAGAGATGTTTTTGTTCTACGGATGGGTTTTTACTGTTTTGCAGGCCTGGACCATAAGGCACATTTGTGAGTAGATCTGGTTAGTATTGCAGGCTGGTGTTAACCACAACAGGCCCTAAAGCAGCAACACTGGTTGTATGTGGTGGTTAGTGGTACCTGTAGATAAAAATTATTGCTCTGCTAGGTTTGGCAAAGTTTGTGGAGCCCAAAACAATATAGGATAGTAAGTGTTATATAACGGGAATGCCTTTTACTTATAAATTGGCCTATAGTATTTTCTATTGCCAGTCTCGCCCTTTTTTCCTGGATCTTAGATGGGTATTAATGGCTAAGTCCAGCACAACAATGTGTATTGTGTCCCTATTACTGCCTCACTCCTGTCATTTTTTTTGTTTGGGATCAAATAAGTTACTGAGACCCCTTTAAAATGCTACATATACTAGATGAAAGTTCCAAAAGGAAATGTTCCTGGCCAACATGTGGCACCAAGCACAATGAGACAGAAGTGATTTTACACTAGTTGTTTACCCTAGTTGTCCTTGCCACTAGTGTACTGGGTTATACAAGAGGTGTCCATTCTGGCATATCACATTTAAGTAGACAATAGGTGGTCATACATATTGAGAATGCTCTACATGGCATGACCTTTAGGTGTCAGAGATAGGGAGATATCTGGACACACACCAGATATGTAGAGCAACAGGCAGGGAAGAGAACAGTGAAGGACCAGACCCTCTCACAGGGTAATAAACTATCTCTGTGCATTATTAACATTCTCTCCACAGCCCAAGGTACTCATTATCTCACCTTGGTAGATCAGACATGGCTCAAGCCTCTCAAATGATGCTTGGGGAGGTTGGGAGCATCTCTTGCTATTATTGGGCATTTATGACCAGGTCTTAAGTCTGTGGGCCTCTCTCCCTTGATCTTTTCCTTGGGTCTGCTGTCATCACCCATTTTGTCCTTTCAGAAATCCACTCTGCAGGTGCAACAACTAAATCAAACACATCAAGGGTTTCCAATCGTGTCTTTGTCCCTTCCTCCATTACTCCAGGGACATTGTTCAAACTTTTTTCCCAAATTCATGAATCATCTGCTTAAATAAAGGATGTTTTATATTTGCTACTGCCTAGGTTACAAACTTCAAAGTGCAGCCTGGCATTCCCATTGTTTGGGTATAAACATGTAATATAGGACAGGAACATGGCACAATTTGTGTTTGATCTGTGGACTAAAAGATGGCTGTGTACATGTTCAATGGATTCTTTGTGCCCATGTGAATTCAATCTGTCTTGGCAGGTGTGCTAATATTAAGAACAGCTTTCTCCAGGTGTACAATGGAGAGAAATTCAACAAGGCTGTTTTTCCTAGTATTTTTATAGAAGGGCTTTGGTTGACCTGTGTTGCTGTTCCCCCAGCCTTGTCCCAAGAGTGTAAATTTAAAATGTATCTAAACCAAAAAACTAAAAATGTAATATACTGCAGCTTACTATTTCAGTTTTATTTTAATTTCTTTATTTTTACCTTTTAATCTTCTGAATAACACACTTCCTGTTTCTTGGGGTGGTTACACACATTTCTCCATTGTATCTATAGAGGATGCCATGGATGTCACATCACCATTCTCCATGTATTCATTTATCCATTTAAAAAAAAGTAATTTGTATTGCATTTCTGGCAAGATCAGCAGGTATGTTCTCTACTTGCTGAAAATGTTTTAAGCCTCAAAAGTAGAAACTGAATCAGCCACCACATCTAAGGACCTGTAAGCTGCAATGTATTAAAGTTTTATTTTTGGGTTTATATATGCATTAGGTAAGTAATTGCAGGTTTTACATGTAGATGTAGATATATAGTAACGTAATAGTAATTTAGATAGAATGGTTTTCCCATTAGAAATGTTATCTTGATATTAGATTTCTATTAATAATTAGGATTCATCAGTGTAGTGGTTGTTCCAGCACACAGATCTGACTGCTAATGCAGAGGCATAGAAAGGCTTTTGCTGGACAAGCTGGATAATTGACCAGCTACCCGAATGTGGTTTTGCTTTGGCTTCTTCTGGATAATCAGCATTTGAACAGTTTTTAGCATAGATGGAACTTAATGGGCTTTGGTCTTTTTCAGCATTATTTTGTATGGTTATATGAAGAAAATTGCACTATTGTAGTCAATATCCTTCAGTAATAGTACTGTAGTCTTCTGCACCTGATGACAGCAGTGCACTTTTGGCTAAAGGTGGCCATACACTTTACAACCATCGCAAGACCTTAGTCTTGCGATGGTTGTAAAGTAATTAAAAAAACGTACGATCTGCCCATCTTGGACAGGCAGATCGTACTCTCAATCATCGCAAGCCCGTCCCCCTGAATGGCGGGCTTCCAATGACCGCAATGCTGAATGGGCAGTGTGCGCGTGCGCACACCGGCCCGTTCGGCATTTATCTCCCGAGCACCGTTCAAACCAGCCGAAAATCGTACGATTTTCGGCTGGTTTTCTAGCGTGCTCCTTAGACAAAAGACGTGCGACCGTACAGTAGAAACGGTTGCACGTCTTCGTTCACACTGCTCGATTCTCGTACGATCGCGGGATTTCCCGCGATACTCGTACGAGAATCAAGCAGTGTATGGGCACCTTTACACTGACCCATTAAGTGCATTTCTCAGTGATTTGTTTTAGCATTAGCATTAATAACCCTGTAGATTTGTATACCTTGCAGTACAGTATGTTGATGGAAGACATGTCACTGAAGGCACATTGTGTTGCTGTTACTACTGCACAAGCTGTGTGTGACCCAGTAGTCTGATTTTATGGACCGGAATGCAGAAATTGGTTCTGTCTTTGAGCCCTGCGCATTTGTTGTGTTTTTTCCTGTTGCCAAATTCATTTTATAGGCACAGATGTCAGGCTATTTATCCCATTACTGAGCTTGTTTATATGTCCTACAACATAGAGAAAGTTTTCCTTCACTGGGGCCCACTCACCTTCTGCTTCATAGACTTTCATTTAGTCAATATGAAAAGTATAGTAATTGCCAACAAATCGATGGCCAATCAACCCTTTTCATTGTTTTGGCGACCCTAAACTAACCAATCAACCATTTTCATTGTTTTGGACGCCCTAAACTAACCAATCGACTCTATCTATTGTCATTTTGACAACAAAATGACAAAAGGTGAATTCTAACCAGCGGCTTTTGGTTATTTAAAAAGTACAAATCCTGTGGGCAATGGCCCTAAGTAAACCTCCAAAAAATGATCCCCGCCCTGGCCGATATATTTTGATGAAACCGCTCATTTTTGGACATCCAAAACAATTTTAGAAGTTATTGCGCAAAGCAGAGTCACAGTATGCAATTTCAAAATGGGTGAGCAACAAAGCGTTACGGTAAATCAATGATAGCAGACCTACCCTTACCCTTAGCCATTCCACTCCTTGACATAATTACATCGACTGCAGAAACTGCGGCTCTGGGAACCCACCATGGCTACCCTTGCAGTGTGGCTTCCACATATTTTGCAAAAGTTGTGCAATTAAAACCTCTGTTTTTAACACATACTGTTAGACAAGGCAAATTATTTTGTTGCAGGCTAGCCAGTAAGTGTGCTGGGAAACATCAGTGTTTTGGATTGTTGTAAGCCCTTCTATGTGCACCTTGCTACCAAGGGTAGTTATAAATTGTGAGGCTGCCATGTATTTTTAGCTTGGCTACCCTTGGGACCAAATTTCATGGCATTTGATTGCATAATTTCTACTGAAAATAGAAACAGAGTTTAGATTGGTCGATTATATCCTTCAGCAGAGATCATGTGACCAAATGCCTAGACACTGACTGCTAAAGAATCCCAAAACAATATGAAGATAAGTATTTCTAAAGTTCTTGGAGCAGGATGGACAAGATAAACCTGAGTTTTCATGCTGTTGCTGTATGTGGAAAATACAAAGGACAATAATAATGTGTTTATATTATTTAAAATTTAATTATTTTCTTTTTAGGTCACCCACGTTTTTTCAATCAGCTTTCAACTGGACTGGACATGATTGGTTTGGCCGGAGAATGGCTGACCTCAACTGCAAATACAAATATGTAAGTTTATGTTGTTACGTTTATTTTAAAGGATATGTATTCCTTTTTATTCCCTTTTTAAACTTAGTCCCAAATAGCCCCCCAGCTCTCAACAACAAAATAGTAGACAATAAGGGGATTGAAAAGTTTCTTCTTCATGATCTTGAAGATTTTTTGAAATTCCAATGGCCAATTTAACATGCCAGTGTTCATCCAAAACATACTCACAATGATATTAGTATGGTTCTCCACAAAGTCTTTTTTTTACATGCTTTTCTGAAGTAATTCTAAAGGATTTGAAATGCGGTGTTTGAATTGGAATTGTATGGATGCTATGTACAGGACACCCCCAGGTTACCATATTACATTTAATTGTTTTGACAGTTTTTGAAATTACACTGGCTACAGATTGAAATGGAAAATTAATTTTTATTAGCAATTTTATAAACTGTACTATTTTATATGTGTAATTTTCCTTTCAAGGAAACTTTTACTGAATGGAATAAGAAGGCTGCCATTACCCTGCTAGAAAAAAAGAAAAGTTTAATGATTTGCAAAGCTGATATTGGCTTACTATGAACAGCAATGATGTGCAGAACTTTTTCACCTTCCTCGTGGGCCTTCTGAAACCTGAGGCCCTGGGCAGATGCTCAATTGGCTCTTATTATAATCCACCACAGTCAGATTGGGCTACTGTGTTCCTAACTGGATTGGAGTCAGTGTTGGCCTGAGAGTTCACAGAGTTGACAGAAACAAAATCTTGAAATTGTCCAGTTGAATAACTTTAATAAAAATGTAAAGAGACACTTCTATCATACAGGACATTGTGACAAAGTGCTTAAAGCCCCCACCCCAGTTATACTGGCATTTTCAACAATACTGCATCATTTCTGCCTGTGTTGTAGCCAGCACTGGAACCCATTGTGTCACCTGTGATGGAAGTTATGGGAAGTGGTGGCTTTACCCCTTCCAGTGTTTGGGCCTAGGGATTGGCTGATAGACCTGTGTACTGTCTAATGGGCATGTAACCCCGCAACAAATGTGATTCATATCGATTCAAACTTTTATTTCTTTTGTTTTTCGGATTTCGTATCTGAAGTTCGATTCGGTACGTTATTCAGATCCATCCCAGGTTTTGTTTCAGAGCGATCCGAATTTTCGTTTTACAATGAAGTCACATGACCTTGCCTGTAATGCAACCCCCAATAGCCCAAAAAATATCTGATTGGCCAGGGAACAGTCACATGTTAAATTTTTAGTTTCGTTTTAAACAAAATTCGTACGGATCCGAGTTTCATTAAATGGTCATTTGGATTCGTTCGCATTCGCATGCGTTCAAATTCGGATGCATCCAAATTTAATGAAATTGGTACAAATATCCATTCACAACTAAGCAAAATTTACATGTCAACTGTCTAAGGGAAGAGGTCACACAAGGCAGCAGAGGCAGGAGCCTGGTCCTGGATCAGTGGTAATGTGAAATTAACTAGGACAGGGGCCCCTTAAGGGCAAATTGTCACTATGCCCTGAATTGACAAAGTGTTTGTAGTACTTGAATTCATAAGTATAATACAATATGCATCACTTTAGGATGTATTAGGTTGTAAGCGCAGAAGTTCATATTTTACATTTAATCACTTTACAACAACTAAAACAGTGAAATATGGTGGCTCAGCGGTTACTACGGGTTACAACACATTGCATTTTTCCTTATTTATTAGCCGTGATTGTTTCTTTATCAATACCCCAGAATGAATGGATTCCAATAATAATGGTTCAGTAATAAAGCTAAATAGCTACATTAATCATAATGCACTTTTTTAAATCTGATATTGAAAACTGATTGAGTCATATGGTTTTATCACCAAATGCGATCTATGTGGCAAATGATAGAAAAGTATATTGTAACTCTCGGATACGTTTTAAGCCTGCGTGGTCAGTCAAATAAAACAGCTGGTGGCTATTTGAAATTGTATATTGATTTGTGCATGGCCTGAAAAGAAAACAAGTAAAATCTAAATATAAGGCAATTGTTTAACATTATATCTCCCTGTGAAATGCACTTGGAGCTTAAAGAGGAGACAGAGCTTGAGCTGTTAATGGATCAGTCCACCCAAAATTCATGTTTTGTTTTTTTGGTAGACACTGGAGAATTAAACCCCCTGTTTCTTAGAACTCTCAGGGACTCTATTGGTGATATTTCAGTTCTTGAGTTCCCGAGTCTACACACCTGCTGTGATAATGGTGTGGGGTTCTCACTTTTCCTGTTTGATGTTTTATTTATTTTATATTATTGAGAATGGAACATGAAGTGCTGGACAATGTAAAGGTGGCCAGGAACACACAAAACTCCCAGATAGAGAGGAGCAGAGGCAGCAATTTTGTTGTTGGAATATCAAGAACACGTATAATGGTGGCTATGTATTGTACAATCTCCATTGCACGACTTAAAGACACTTTTCTGCAGTGGCGCATTATGATAACGTGCAAGTTACCTTAATGCACGTTTTGTGTATTGCAGTTGTATTGTGTACTGTATATTCACTTTATTTTAAATAGATTTTTATTAATTTTTCCAGATATTTTGACATACATTCACGATACAGAAAAACATAGACTCAAAGAATGTATCTTGGTAATCCACCAAATAGCATAGAAAACAATAATAAAAGGGGAGAGTATAGAACACATATACTTTCCAGTGTACAAGACATACCGTTTGGGCAAACTTGTTAGCCCGTCGGGTGGGACAAATACCACGTTTTCCACGGGTCCCAGTATTTATCAAATTTAAGCAGTAGCAATTGCAAAAGGCCAAGATTCTTTCATAGTTATAATGTAGATGGACCATTTGTATGACTTGGCGAACAGTAGGAGAGTCAGTTGATTCCCAGTTTCTCGCGATCATCAATCGAGCCACCAGAAACACATGTGCAACTATCACCGGAAAGGGTGAGGGATAATGTCTATGCCCAAATTCAGCAAAGCCAATGCTGGGTCTAGTCGAACTTCCACCGCTGTGATTCGGGATATAGTTAAGAAAATATGCTGTTTATTCACTTTAAATAGCACACCAGGCAGTAAGGCAATGCAATTTTATTGCAGCACACTACAATGCATAGTAAGGCACTACCGTAGGGTGGCGACTTTATTGCCAAAAATTGTGTATGTTGCCAGACCATTCACCCATTTTAAATAATTTTAACGCAATGCAGAAAAATGCACATTTGCAGGTGTGCTTTAGGGCTCATTCACACAGGCTTGCAGTTCTGTACAGTGTGCATGCCCATAAAATGACCCGATCCCGGAAGTGACAGTTGGTGCGTGTAATTGCGCACAGCAACCTATTCTTCCCTATGGGAGGACATGGCTGCACACAATTGCATGCGGTCACACGCACACCCAAACCAGCACATCCGTGCAGGCCCATCTGAATGAGCTCTTAATGCAAAGCACCAGGACACCAAGGTGTCCAATTTTGGCAAACAAAGCAGCCAATTCATGTTTTACTTTGCAACAATCTGGTGAATATAACACATGTTGGAAATATTCTGTTCAACTAACGCCAATTGTTTTCTTTTCTATTAAGAAAAGAGAATGAGAACTTTCATCATGCACATGCAATGTCCACACATCAGTTGAGTCAGGGAGAATTGCCATGTCATTTCTATAGGCACCTTGAAGCCAATGTATTTAGGTCTGTTGGGATTTTTTTTAAAGGAATTCACAGTGTGCATTCCTTAATCTAAGCTCAAAAATATGAAACTTTATTGAGCTCCCATGAAAAAAAAAACTCCACTTGCTACAAGGATATATTGATTGAACAATTGGTAAAGTTACTTTTAGTATGGGTTACATATAATTCTAAAGTAATCTTCCTTTATATTACATTTCAATCACCCCATGCATTCCAGAGGAAATATCAAATCATGTGGAGTTCTGCCACTGGCAGCTGACATGAAAGAGAAGGAACAGAGCAGGGGGGATTAATGCATAATGCTTTCTGCAGCTGTAATGGTGACCTATTTCATGCACTGTAGTTGGATAGAGCACGTGCTTAGATTACACATTTAGTATTATAAAAAAAATCCTGTAGCTAGAGGCAACTCACCGGTGCCAGCATTGCTAAATAAAGGCAGTGAAACCATTCATCTGTTTCTACACCTTTGGTCTCTAGCAGAGGCGTAACTAGAACCTTCAGGGCCCCGGTGCACGAAACCATGAAGGGTCCCCCCAACCCCCCGCCGCCATGGCACTGTGTGGTTAACAGGACGGATGCCGAGGTCCCCAGCAAGCACGGGACCTCAGGCAGCAGCTTAAGTTTAAAAATGTTGTGCCGGTGTTCTGTCGAACGCCAACCCAGTATCTGCGTTTGCACACAGACAGGATTAAAGAGGAAACCGGCATTTATGTACAAAGTATTTGTTTGTAATGGTTAATTGTGACCGGTAATAATATGCCGTCCCTGGCAGTAAATGATGGATGGAATATTATTAACGGTCACAATTAACAATTTAAACTAAATACGTTGTAAGTAAATGCCTGTTCCCTCAATAATACTGGTCTGTGTGCAAGCGCAGATGCTGAGGTCTGCAAATTCGACTACGTCGGTTTTCTCAACAGAACACTGGTATCTGCGTTTAGTATCGGGGCATTTTCACGAGTACGAGTACTTGTGAAAATGCCCAGTATTGGCACTGGTGCATCCCTACTTGAAATTATAATGTATTGCTGGGACTTGTAGTCCTGCATAGTTGGTGCTATAAGACTATTGACAGCCTCTCCATCCCCACCGCACAGCCGCCCGTACATGCGGCGGGTGGCTGAGCAGCCGGGAAGGACCGGCACGATCTCGGGGGGGCCCTCTTCTTCCTTGCTAGGCCCCCCCAACAGGCGGAATGTGAGTGCCCGGTCGCAATTGCAACCCTGGTAGTTCCGCCAGTGGTCTCTAGCTGGCTGGACCATTGATGAATGATTTGATAATGCCACTCCATTGCAAACTGAAACACGAAGAATGGTCTGGCCAGCAAGGTAAAAAAAGATGCTGTAGAAACAGGTCAGTGGCTTCTTTGTCCTCTATAGCAACTGGTGAGTTGCCACCAATGACAGGATAACTAGTGCATTGCAGGCCTTTGGCCTAGAGACCGGCTTCACTTCTATGCATTGTCAAAGTGTGTTGTACAACATGCATTTGACTGTTTTGTTAGCACAAAACAGTACTCTGTGTGGAGCATTGACATCCGTGTAGAATCAGGGCTATCCCTATGGTTTTTGCCACCTGAGGACATTTCTTTCTGGGGGGAAATGGGGGGGTGTTACAGGTAAAGGTCACTGGTTAACTTGTCATGCGTTGTGGCTGGCGCAGTGGATGCCAGACTGGGCTGTCATCAGCTCTGTCCGGCTTCCTGCCTAGCTCACTGACGTCACTGGTTGCCAGGTGCTCGGCAGGATGCAAGCCAGAGCATCCCGCTCAGCCCTAGGCAACCTGTGACGTCAGTGAGCAGGAAAGGACGCCAGGCAGAGCGTTACAGGTTGCTAAGAGCTCTAAGCAACCTGGGTCGCTGTGGCTGCCCCCCTGCCGCTCCCCAATGGCATGCCACCTGAGGCAGCCACCTCACGCTACCTCATTATAGGGATGACCCTGTGTACAATTGCATCCCTAAGCACAAGTACAATAGGTGATAATGAAATAGCAATTTAGAGCATCAAACCACATGTCATGCATTGTGGTACGCCGCATTAAAAAAGGTGCAGGTGTAGTCTTCCTTTTATTACCATGCATTGGCAGCCCATTCCTGATGAATGTCACTCAAAGCATAAACCAAAAGAGGAGCGTTGGACCAAATTTATAAAGGAGTTCAAAACAGCTTTAATGATCCATAAAATAACATCCAACACGTTTCGGGGGGTAGTGAGTTTTGCCCCCGAAACATGTCGGATGTTATTTGAAGCTGTTTTGGACTTCTTTAAGAATTTGGTCTGGCGCTCCTCATAGTTCTCATAGTTCTAGCCGACCTGTGACAATGAGACTGTCACAGGTCGGCTCAGTAGATCGGGAGGTGAGCGAACACATACCAGGTTCGCTTACCTCTCAATCCTGTCACGGCTCTCTGCCATGACAGGGGGAGGGGCTGGATTCCCCTCTCCCAGCTCCGATCTGCCAGCGCTGACTGGTGGAACGGACGGGGGAGGGGGCGGGTACAGCTGGCTCTGCCTCTAGATAGGCAGAGCCAGCTGTCACTCACGCAGCTGGGCGGATCCCGTCATCTACGTCGGGATCCGCCCCGGCTGCGGCGTCTCAGTATACCGCGAGCTGCAGCTCGCGGTATACTGAGCTTAGGGTAACGGGAGGACGCTAGTTTGTGTCCTCCCGTTACCCTAAGGAGAACTATGGGGAAAACACTGACCCCATAGTTCTCCTTTTAAGCTTTAAGTGACATTCTTGGGTACTCATTGGAGGGTAGCCCTGTTTCCATGTAAGCCACCTAAGCAAAGCCAATGAGCTCACTGAATGACTGTTGTTCACATTCACTGTTTATGAATAAACAAGTACCAGCGCCTCTTGGATGTATCCCTAAATGAATGGATTGCCTTAATGCAACACATATTAACATGCAAAATACCACACAATAAAGTGCATGTGGTAGTGCAATGGAATGTATACTTCAGGTGTGAGGGGAGCCAGAAAGTTTCACAATTTTAGGGACAGACTTGAAAAGGAATAATGTAATCTAAGAGAAGTTTTTATGGTAAAACAGCTATGTTAAAAAGGAGATCAATAGATACATGTGCAAAGAAAATGCTTTACAGGCAATGGCCATTATGACTAGTAGTAGGTTTTCCAATTGTGACTGGGCCGTCTCTTTAAATACACTCGAAAATTTCTCTAGGCTTGCATTGTTTTCTAAATGTAGTGATGCACATAAAGGAGATTATTAAAGTAGATGATTGTATCCATTTTAGATGATCTAGCTAATTGTCTGCTTCTCTTTTCCTCTATTCATTTGACAAAAGTGCCATCCTAATAAGAAAACAAGACCGAATTCTTGTCGGCCATTAGTACACTGCACTATACTCCTAAATTAAACTAATTAATAATCATATTGATTGTTTTACCTCACTTTTAAAGATGGATTGCAAATGTACAGGTTGATCGCATTAGATCTATGACATCTCTCAGTCACTGTGAAAGTCCTTACCTAAGACCTTACCATGTATGGAGCCTTTCCTCTTCATTAGATGGACATTTAGGCTGGATACATGTCTTTTTGTTTTTGTCACGGATAATTAAAAAAAAAGTCATCATCTATAATTACTCCTGACAGATATCGACTGAACGAAACTGTAAAAACAAAGTTGTCCTTGGGGGTTAGTAGATGGCGGACACTACATGAATAATTGCATTTGATGTTTTTTTTTTATTAACTGCATTCAATAGTTTTAATTAGATTTGGGCGACTCATTACGCAAAACCTTAACCCTTGTGGTGTCAACTCTACTCCACAGCGTGCCATTTTCGGGAAGGGGCTTCCCATTTTGGTCCTATGAATTAATCACTGTATTGGTGGGACTTACATTTTCTGAACAGCTGGAGGATTGCAGGTTGTTTTTCTCCAACTTTCTACTTTGTTTCACAAATAGAACAAAAGGGGACACACTTCATTCAAGCCCCACAGTAAGAAGTGACAGATCTTAAATCGCCGTTGTTGTGAATATAGATGTTTTCACCAATTATTTCAGGATAAAAATGGGTTAATGGAGATCTTTCTATAGCAAACGCTGATATTCATGTTTGTGATGACATCATTGCGGTAGCAAATAACATTAAAGTTTGCAGGTACCTTATTGCAGAAAGGCCATTTAATTTGCTATGGAATTTTCTATATCATTATCATTTATTTTCAATGTAAATTCAGAAATGTTATCATTTCAAGTTTGTTATATGCAGCAGCAAAGACCTTTCTTATTAAATGATATAGATCTTACCTTGTTCCATTCTGTGTATTTTGTCATTGAAGGTTTACCTATGAAATTGCTCCAGTGTTCGTCCTGATGGAACAAATAACACTAAGGAAAATGAGAGAAATAATTGGCTGGTCTGGAAAGGATGGAGATGGCATTTTTTCCCCAGGTAAGTTTCGTGAACGGCTCTAATGCCATGAAAAGTAATGGGGATTTTATTTCCAATATGAACTGCACATGGAATGCTTTCAAGCACAAAATGTAAGGGTAATAAAAATGAGGCTAAAAGGCATGAATTCAACAGAACTGGAAAGCTCTGACATAAATACGCCTAAGACACTCATACTGACATCTAGAGAGATGTGAAAATGGCAAGGTCTTTATACATACATATGGTGCCCCAAAGTGGCTTTTTAAGTCCTTGCCCTCAAGGAGCTTACAGTCTAAGGTCCCCATGTCACATACACACACATACTAGGGCAAGTTAGGACATGAGCCAATTAACTTACCAGAGTCTATATGTGTTTAGAGCACATTTCTAAATGTATATAAAGGTATGTAACTGATTTTCAATACAATCATTCAGACTTTGAATTGCCTACATTCAGCTTAGCTGCATTTAGAGAACATAGAATCCTGTGCATCCAGGATCCATATTGGAACTTTAAAGGAAAACTATGAGGTGAGTGATTTTCACTCAACCTCATAGTTCGAGCCGACGTGTGACAATGAAACTGTCACACGTCGGCTCAATAGATCGCGAAGTGAGCGAACACATACTGTCGCTTGCTCACTTCCCGATCATGTCCCCACAGAGAGCAGTGACTGTCACTCACGACTCCGTGCAGGGATTCCCCCGCTTCTCGCTCCAATCCTCCAGCGCTGACTGGAGGAACGTACGGGGGAGGGGGCGGGCACAGCTATCTCTGCCTCTAGATAGGCAGAGCCAGCTGTCACTCACCCAGCTAGGTGGATCTCGACAGTATTGTCGGGATCCGTCCCGGCTGTGGCGGCCTCAGTAAACACTTACCCCATAGTTCTCCTTTAAATGTGGCTAAACTTATGTACTGTATATGTAAACACATATAAATGTAGCTTTAGCCAGGAACATCTAAACCAAGAAAAAAAGTGATATACATCCCAGATAACTTATTTTCACTTTTCTAGTTTTCAGTGCCAGTGTGAATGAGGCCTAATAGGAAACTAGAGTATCCTGTAGGAAACTCACACAAGCACAGGGGGAACATGCAAATTCCATGCAGATAGTGCTCCAGTGCTTACCACTGAACCACAGTGCTGCCCTATCCCCTCAAAAGCTCTGCAAGATCTGCACTTGGTTCTTATTTTTCTGTTGTGGACTGAAACAAAATGCATGTTTGTGGACTGTAATCACCGGAAATAGTGTCAGCACTGCCCTGTTGTTTTAATTAAACTATGGCATCCCTCCCACTTTCCACAACATAGGGACAAATTGTTCTGTAGTCCATGATAAGAGCTAGTAGGAATGTCGGAATGCAATAGCAGGTAAAGGAGCTTTATTTTTTATAGGTATGTTTATATTGTGCCAACAATTTTACAAAGTGCTTTACAAACCGTACATTCACATAGGTCCCTGACCTCAAGGAGCTTACAATCTAAGGTCCCTATCTCACATGCATGCATACTAGGGTCAATCTAGCCAATTAACCTACCAGCATGTCTTTGTAGCGTGGGAGGAAACCGGAGTACCCAGAGGAAAACCACGCAAGCACAGGGAAGACAAGCAAAATCCATGCAGATAGTGTCCTGACCAAAATTCAAACCAGGGTCCCCTGTGCTGAAAGGCACTAACTGCTAAGCCACTGTGCTGCCACTCCATCTGTGGATGGAGGAATCCGTTGGCCAGCTTAATTCTTGTGTCCCCCCCAGTTTTCTTCCAAGTGCTTCCCAAACAGAGGATTTACCCTTGCCAGCAGGCATGCAGGCATCTGGACCTTGCCTGGGCATGTAGGCATGTAGACCTTCTAAGGCATGTAGACCTTTTGTGTGCAATACACAAACACATCAATGGCTCCAGAAATGTTAATCTCGCATTTAGTTTGGGATGAAAATGTGTTTGCTTTAGGCAGGTGCAGATTCCCTATGAAACTTCATCAAATACATAATAAACATGATGCAGCATGAATATCATTGAAGACATTTACAGTACATAAATGTGTGCTTGTCTTTAGGATTCCTAGCATTGTTCCAATATGTTTACTTACCTCAATAATAATGCGACTGCGACTGCATTCCAGCTGTGTACCTTGACTATAGGGATTACCTGGAAACTATATGTATAGATCATTTCAAAATTATACTTTATGGAGACAGTATTTTATAAGAATCTAAATGGTAATATACAGTATATCTGTTGAATATCTCAAGAGAAAGCTCATTTTAGAATGTTGCTTTGTGATTGATTTACATTAGACATGTGCACCAGCAACAAATTCATTTAGTTACGTTTCGTTTTGATTCGGATTTTGAGTAATTTTTCGTTTTTCGAGATTCAGGTCCAAAAGTCAATGCGTTTCAATATTCAGATTTAGACAAAATTCGTTAGCAGTAGTCTGAACGAATGGTCATGTCGTTTTCGTTTCGTTCGTTGAAGCACATGGACTTTGGAGGGGAAAAAATGTTTTCTCTCAAATGTCACTTTGCTGCAACGAAATTTCGTCCAACAAACGGATTTTCGTTCAGACTACCGCTAACGAATTTCGGAATCTGAAATTCTGATTCGTTTGCATTGGTTATATCTGTAATTCGGAATTCGGATACATCCGAATCTCCGAATTTCCGAAATTTCGTCCGAATTTCGATTCGGAACGAAACGAATTGCACATGTCTAATTTATATGCTATGTTCTTATCTTAGGAGGTGCAATATCCAACATGTACAGTATCATGGCTGCCCGCTACAAATACTTCCCAGAAGTGAAAACCAAAGGAATGGCTGCTGTCCCCAAACTAATCATCTTTACCTCAGAACAGGTAAGTTCATACTAACTGAATCAGGTTCCTGAAAATATTGGACATAAGGAGACAATACTTCAACATGTCATGACTTTTATAGCACTATCAAAGTCTTAAAGGAGAATTATGAGGCAAGTGATTTTCACTCAACCTCATAGTTCGAGCCGACGTGTGACAATGAAACTGTCACAAGTCGGCTCTATAGATTGGGAAGTGAGCGAACAAATACCGTCGCTCGCTCACTTCTCGATCCTGTCCCTGCAGAGAGCCGTGACTGTCACTCACGGCTCCCTGCAGGGATTCCCCCCTCCCCGCTCCGATCCTCCAGGGCTCACTGGCGGAACGGATGGGGGAGGGGGCGGGTACAGCTGGCTCTGCCTCTAGATAGGCAGAGCCAGCTGTCAATCACGCAGCTGGGTGGATCTCGACAGTAATGTCGGGATAAGTCCCGGTTGCGGCGTTCTCAGTATACCGCGAGCTGTAGCTCACGGTATACTGAGCTTTGGGTCACGGGAGGAGGTTAGTATATGTCCTCCCGTGACCCTTAGGAGAACTATGGGGAAAAACACTTACCCCATAGTTCTCCTTTAAGCTCTGAAACTAGTGGAAATTCTGCAAAATGAATAAGATCACTTTAAATAGAGGTGTCATTGGAGGATTGGGAAGGGTTTTGTGGAATTTCACTTAAGCTGGCCATACACATATAGATTATCTGCAGCTTTTCTGTGGTCAGATGGAAAAAGAGCAACTGATTCCTCCATCTACGCTAAACTGTGTGGATGGAGGAATCTCCCACTGGGCCAAGCTTCAGTATCTTCCTGGTCCGTCCCGCTGGCTGTCAAAATACCTGAACAATCTGATTGGATGCAGGCATTTTTCAGGTGTTTTGACAGCCAGCTGGGCCGACTAGCAAGATACTGAAGCTTGGCCCAGAGGGAGATTCCTCCATCCACACAGTTTAGCGTAGATGGAGGAATCTGTTGCACTTTTTCCATCTGACCATAGAGAATCTGCAGAAAATCTATAGGTGTATGGCCAGCTTTAGATACCTAGCGAAATTGTTACACAATGCTTTACAAAATACACAAAACCATGGGGACATGAGTCCCTATAAGAGCTCACAATCTAATACCCTTCCATTAAGGTTTACATTTTTGTCAGGTCACGTTGAAGCTAGTAGTATTTAGTCAATGAACTGCACTTGTTCTGTAATGTTGGAGATATCTCACCACTTATCTAAGGGGTATATTTACCATTCACTGGGCTGCTTGTCCTGCGAATATCTGTTAATGTCCGTTCTTGGCGATAATATGCCAAAATGTATGTTCTTAGTTTCTTTACAAGTAGAATTCATTTTCAAATGTTTTCATGTAATATCACATTATGACCATGAGATGGAGCTAAAGGATGATAGGAAATACATTCGCTAATGAATGTTTGTTTTGGCATAAATCTGAAACAAACGAACATTCACAGTTTGAACAGCATTGCAAAAAGTTTACATATATACACCCCTTAGTGTCTTTCTCAGTCCAAGAAACTAAACAAGTCAAGTTAAGTGTGACAAACTATTACTAGCTAATGCCCTTATGAAGTCACTCGCACTGGGACTGAAATTTCCAAAACATCTCCGAAAACATTTCCGAAACATCCAAAACTGTGCATTGGAATTGGTGAGAAGTGTTTCAGTGAGGACACTTGTCATGGTGACAACTGTCTATGAGGGGATTGCCCTCACTTGAAAGAGATTTCTTGCTTCCTATGTTGTCTACGAAACAGAAAGTGAAGGGAAACCTCCCAATGAGTGACAAAATAAACATTGACAGGGGTTTTATCCCTTTCCTACTCTCTTCAAAACTGAAATGTTTTTTGGCATTAAATAGACTATACATAATGAGAAAATATACATACAAAACGCTATACATTCCCTTTAATTGTGGTCTGACCTTCTGATTGAATACTGGGGGTTATGCATCCCAAACAGACACAAACCTGCATGGTAACTACATTAAGGGTCCCTTTTCAGCCCATGGCATGCATGCCTTACCTGTAATGTGTTTCTGATCACAATTTCACTAAACGTATGGTGAACATTATATTGTAATAGTTTTACCTCTAGGTTTCATTCCTGGGGTAAGCTTCTTTCCTGTCCTTTTCTTAGCAGTTACACTGCTTGACTCTTTCTAAATATACATTATTTCTCTCATCCCAGAGTCACTACTCTATGAAGAAAGCTGGAGCTGCACTAGGATTCGGGACAGAGAATGTCATCCTGGTGAAATGCAATGAGAGGTAAGTAACTCTGAAAATGACGTCTGAGTAAATGTAATGTCATGAAAGATATATGTCATTGCGGCTTTCCTTCTGAAAATGCCAGTTGTCTGGCTGGTATTCTGGACACCCCCTCACAGACTTCAATACTTTCTGAGTCACGAACATGTAAGTCAGAAATGTCAAAGCAAGTCAGAAGACCTTATCTGCATACTTGCTCCGGATCAGTGACTGAAAGTACTGAAGAAAGAGAGAAATCATTATAACCAGGCAACCTCCATGTTTCAATTCTGCTTTTATTTAAAGCATAAAATAAGGGACAAATCCCTACATGGTTGTTTGAATGTACATGCTATTCTGACTCTGATTGTTGTATTAGCGATGTATCCCTTGCTGAGACCTCTATGCCTGGCCTGTATAAGCAGATATAATCACAGCGGACAATCCTTATCAGATAGCTGAACTCACCAAATACCTTTTCCATCCACAAAGGTGCTTTATTCTGTACATAAGGTTACAGCAGGCAACAGGATACAGCAGATGAATGAATTGGCAGTATTTAAGGCGGTCAAAGATGATAATGTTTCCAAGCATGCAATGCAGATTAACATGTGGTCCTGTTACAAGCAGCCATGACACAGGAAGTGAATACTGAAGTCAGCGCTGGCGGATCGGAGCGGGGAGGGGGGAATCCAGCCCCTCCCCTGTCACGGCAGAGAGCTGTGACAGGATCGAGAGGTGAGCGAACACCGGTATGTGTTCGCTCACCTCCCGATCTACGGAGCCGACCTGTGACAGTCTCATTGTCACAGGTCGGCTAGAACTATGAGGTGAGTGAAAAGAAATCACCTCATAGTTCTCCCTTAAGGAAAATAAACTATATAAATTCTCATTTAACATTAATGTGAATATTGACTGTGGCTGTGAATACAACTATTGTGGCAGCACACATGCGCTTCTTCTGAATTCAGTACAAACGTGTGTAAACGCTAGTGCAGTTTTCATGTGTTACCCTTGATTTTAAAGGACAACGCATGTGCCTAATAGCAGAGAGATGTGAATCTGGCCTAAGTGGTTGACTGTCTATTAATCCTACCAGAGGACTTTCTAGTGCAGGGGTAGGCAAACTCCATCCATCCAGCTGTGGTACAACTACGAAACCCATAAGGCAGTGCAAGACTTTGACAGCCATAAACATGACTACCAGAAGCACAAGCACAATGGGATCTGGAGGACCAGAGTTTGCCTACCTCTGCGTCTTAATAACAAATGTTTCAGTACAATATCCATGGCACACAGGCTAGGTGAATGAATTTAATATAATTATAAAAAAATTGAATTTAAGGTTATTGTTTATTGATAAAATATGTTATTTGCAGGTAATATTATGAACTTTGTATACATTCTATTGTAATCCCCCTCCCTTTTAGATTGTAAGCCCTCACGGGCAGGGCCCTCCTTGCCATCTTGTCTTTTGAATTGTATTGTGATTGTAATGTCTTCCTTATATTGTAAAGTGCTGCGCAAACTGTTGGCCCTATATAAATCCTGTATAATAATAATAATAAGCAGTAATAGGAGTCTTCCACTTCAAGGGCCCCTTCACATCTCCATGTGGTGTTTTACTACATGCGCGTTAATATTCTGTGGGTTGCAGCAAGAATATGGTGTTGTTACAAACAGCATCCAGCTATCTTCTAGCTGTTGTCAATATGAAAGTATAACCAAGCAGTTGACATTGAATTGTGCAACATCTCCATTTTCCATATACAGTATTTTAGTTTTATAGGATATCCATGTATACCATGGGACTGGGAAGCATTAGAGAATAAAGATTCCCTATATTTGTTCTAATTCTACATGATTTAGCCATTTAAATGTATTTAAGGGGGTAAAATATTGTTTATTGTAGTGAGGTAGGGGCTTCACACTGCCATGTGTCACATCACTAATGGCCTGTATAAAAAGCCCTATTAAATAGCATTTTCTGCAGCTGATCTTCTCCTTCTCTGTTTCATTTCACACCTGACAATTTCCACTATAATTACAGAGGAAAGCTCATTCCTGCTGACTTGGAGGCCAAAATCCTTGAAACGAAACAAAAGGTTGGTAAAAATTAGTGAAATTACTGATGCCAATTGGAGATAGAGTATATTGGGAAGTGGAGTAGGGGGAGAAATCACCATTTTGGGGTTTATATATTAAAACTGGATAAAAACATTTAGCACATACAGAATTGTTGCCCACAGTAATAATTTGGTATTCCGTGACACTAAACTCAGGAGTCAAGTCTTAAAAATTTATTCAAGCACCTTAACTAGTAACAAAAATGTATCTTATTTGTGTATCACTCGGCTGTAGATCCTCAAATTAACTCTGAATTGATACTATTATGTTATCTTGCGCCAAAAAGAAAAAACTTTCTTTGCTGCAAGCACTCAATGCATTCATTGTCAAAAGATCAAACAATATGAAAGCAGTGCCGCGTGTTCAATTCTTTCCTCCAACATTTACAAATAAATGTGAAATGCAAACAGTGAATCAACGCTTTTTTTCTTCCATACATATACTGTATCAAATTAATTGTGATCAATCAACATCATAATAAAAACACATTTTGTGAGTCCGTGTCCCAAATATGTATGCTATCCTTTATAGTGCAACAATAAGAGGTTTCCACCATCATTCACAATTTTGATTATAGTGTTGATTCACTGTTTGCATTTCACATTTATTTGTAAATGTTGGAGGAAAGAGTTTGACAGCACGGCACTGCTTTCATATAATTTTATCTCTGAATTCATGCTGACACTGTCCTTCCTTCTGGAGGGGGTCTACTTTTTCTGTGTGTGTTGTAAACCCAGATAGCAGGGATAACTTGCTACAATCTTGTGGCAGGGTTAAATTGTAATTCTTGTTAACTTGCTGCACACATTCCTGGCAAGTTGTAGACTTGCAGAAGCACGAGTTCTAGTTGACACTTTTTGAATTTGTAGCAAATTTGCTTGGCAAGTCTACAGCAAGAGTCCTGCAGGTCTTAAGGTGCCCATACACTTTGCCATTATCGTAAGATAATCGCGGGAAAACCCGCAATCGTACGATAATCGCAAGGTGTATGGAAGGCATGCGACCGTTTATACTGTATGGTCGCATGTCTTTTGTCAAACAAACATGCTAGCAAACCCGCCAAGAATCGTACGATTGTCGGCGGGTTAGTGGCGTGCTCGTTCGACACTGCACGTTCAGCATTGCGGTCATCGGAAGCCTGCCCCTCAGCGGGGCGGGCTTTCGATGATCGCAAGTACGATCTGCCTGTCCAAGTTGGGCAGATCGTACAAGCTTTTAATTAGCTTACAACTATCGCAAGACAAAAGTCTTGCGGTGGTTGTAAGGTGTATGGGCACCTTTAGCAAGAGCTCTGCAAGTGTACAGCACTTTTGAAAAACACCTTGATCTGGAGACTTGCAATGCAGACTTTCTGTAATTGTGCAACAAAATTGTGAAGCTTGGCAAGTCTGCAATAGTTTAGCAAGTCATTTTTAAACTTGCAGCTCAATTGCTTGCTATCTGGGAAGTAGCCACCGCTCCAAGCTCGCTCCTGTGATGGACTACAATCATACACAGGGACCATGGGGTACAAAAGTAGCCCCCTCCAGAAGGAAGGACAGTGTCAGCACCAATTCAGAGATGATTTGAGGATCCACAGCCGAGTAATACATTTTTGTTAATAGTTAAGGTACTTGAATGTATTTTTAAGATTTAACACCTGAGTTTAGTGTCACTTTACAATAAAAAATAAAACTTGATTGGTTGATATGGAAAACAACTTAATTTTTCTGCTCATTTTTTGTCTCCAAATTTTATGGCAGACCATTGTCCCCCCTCCTACCAGTAATTAGTTCAGGCCCCTTTCAGACGGGTGTTTTGTTGAAGTTTGAGTGAATCAAGAAAATACCACATTATGGCCATTAGAAGGAGTGGAGGATCCTAGAAAATAAACATTTTAGGCCTCATTCACACTGAGCGACATGAAAATCACGCGATTTTCGGCGCGATGGTATATGTGCGATACTGCGTGAGTTGTCACGCTACGTCGCGGAACTTTTTCCTATTGGGCTGTATGCAATCAGGAGCAAAATCGCTCAAAATCCGCAGAAAAAAGGGTCATGTAGGAGCGACAGCTACAGCGATGAGCTACAGGCGATAGTGAGCTGCGAGATGTGAACAGCTCCATTGAAATACATTGGAGAAGCTACATAGAGCGATATCGCGTGGAAATATGAGCGATATCGCTGCAAAAATCGCGCAATAAATCGCTCAGTGTGAATGGGGCCTAAAACAACATTATACGTTCAGGTTTTTTAAAAACTTTTCTTCATTATGGGGACCAGACATGCTAAAATAAAAAACTATTATTATTTTATTATTTGTTTTAATTAGCTTGTCTTTCTCTAGTGGTATCCAGACTGCTAGTGCCACTTCCCCTGTACAGGTCCCTCCATCAGCTAGCCGACTGCTGTGAAGGCACAGGTATGTGCACGGTCATGGCTGTGCCCGCACCAAGCTGTGTGCGTCCATAGACATGCGGCCTGCCACACCCCCACCCTTGCAGTCACAGCTTGACTGACGGCAGAAGGAGCCTATGGCTCTCTGCCCTCAGTACCTCCCTCGCAACTAGGAAGTTTGGGGAAACCCAAGTATCGTTGCAGTGGAGGAGATGAGAGACTGCAGGTAAGTGTGGGCGGGGATGTTAAAAAAGTGCAGAGAATGCATTAAGGGAAAAAACACCCAGCCCTTAATACTACTTTAATTCCTGTGATCCTCATTTCAATCTGGTGGTCATAATGTGGTATTTTCCTGATATTACATGTGACTGAAAAGAAAATATACTAATAACATTGGTTTTTACGCCATTCATACAAAACGGATGGACATGCAGTTTCGCACGTAGAATTGCTCTGCACATTTAACACCCCAACAATTGTTGAGAAGTGAGATCTTTTAGAATCCAAGTTAACTCTTTGAGGGGAGTTTTATTCATCTTGATATTGCAGTTTATGTCTTAAAAGTGCGGTGCTTTGGCAACTACTTTTTAAGGTTGTTAGATTTTTGCTGTATATCTGCTACATGTTTCAACAAAAAAAAGCTGTGTATGTTTTATATATGCATTTAGTGGTGCAAGCAATATTTGTGCAGGGATCTTTATGTACAGTACATACCTCTTCAGCCCTAGGTTAGGATTAGCCATTCGTCATTGTTGAGGAGAGATGACATGTATAAATGACATGTATACTTACATCCCTCTGGTGTATTTTATAGGGACATGTCCCACTTTATGTCAATGCTACTGCTGGGACCACAGTTTACGGAGCATTTGACCCGATACATGAAATTGCAGATTTATGTGAGAAGTACAACCTTTGGCTTCATGTGGATGTGAGTACAAGTCGCACAGTGTTCTAATTCATTGGAAGTCCTCTTATCAGTTATGGTTGCCTGACCTGTATTCTTTTTATTGGTACAGGCTGCATGGGGAGGAGGACTACTCATGTCTAGGAAGCATCGCCACAAATTAAATGGAATAGAAAGGTAAGTCAGAAGTTATGAATATACCTGCATTTGTCTTAGTACCAATTACCGTGTTTCCCCGAAAATAAGACACTGTCTTATATATTTTTTTTGGCTCAAAAAAACACACTAGGTCTTATTTTCGGTGTAGGTCTTATTTTTTTTTTTTTTACAAAAATCCAAAGTTAACGCAAATCCAAATGAAATAATCCAAAATGGCAAAGTTAAGAATGGGGTGATCATGGCAATCAGGGGAGCCGTACCTTTCCAATCGCAGACCAGAATGATCGAAACGCACTTTCACTATTGATTCCTCACAGTCGAAGTGCATTTGGTATCACTCCGCCTGTGACAGGAGCCAGCGCTATTGAAGAAGCATCACCTTATGCGGCACTGCTCCCTCTGCTGCCGCCTCGCTTCCTCTGGCTTCATTGGCACCGCTGATTCTCTCCCGTGGCTCTTCAAGTTCCCCTTTATGCCACCACCGGCCCTGGGAATGGTCACAACTAGGTCTTATTTTTGGGGGTAGGTCTTATATTTTAGCAATTCCCAAAAATAGTACTAGGTCTTATTTTCGGGGTAGGTTTTATTTTAGGGGAAACAGGGTATACTTGTTAGTGTCATTTAAATGAGTGTAATTAAAATTAGTGTAATTTAACTACGTTTTCCTTATGAGCCACCTGCCATTTGCCCCCCTTGACAGCATGTAGACAGAGAAGACGGGAGTGTGACATTTTATCATGCCTGCTCTAAGACAGGACTAAATTAAATGAACAAAAAGGAAATAATGGCAAAACAACCTTAGTTAAGGGGTGTATGGTTATATCTGGAGTCTTGAGCCTGGTGGGAATCTGTACTAAAATACTATTGTACTACTAAAGAGGTCTGAGGCCCTTCACACATTTTCTGTATCAAAGGAGACTTCTGAAGGCCCAAATTATAATGAGGGGTCATAAGATGTAGAGAAACAAGGTGCACAAGCTCAAACTACATCATTATGGACACATAGCTATAATGACATCAAAGCTGTTTAGGGTCCTTGGCAATAAAAGCTTAATTCCAGAAATCTTGCATTAATTATAGTTGACTTCCATTTCATCATATATTTTAAAAACTGCTTCCAACCTTTCCCATGAAGTAACACAGAGCTCCCATCCCCAGCTTAATGTCCATGTTGCATGTCTCTTGAAGATGCATTTAGTTTCAGCCTGTGGCTACAGCCCCGCCTGTGGGTGAAATTTGGAATTGCAGATAGCCCAGTCAACCTGAGACAGATAATATTCCCCTAGCTGAGTGTTAACAGAATTCATTCAATCCCACTTCTGCTTACCGGGCAGTGAAACAAAAGCAGTGGCTATAATAAAATAATTGTAATCTCCTTTTAACATTTTGTGGTCATTGAAATGCATACATAAGTAAATCTGCTTCCCTGAAGCACATACAGTGAATAGGCATATCTCTGTTCCCTACTTGTCCGTCATCAGTGATCAAGCACTTTAGTGTTTCCTCTAGAAGATGTGATGCAGGTCATTTTTTGTAAGGGATCTGTTAACATGGACAGAGTGCAGGACATTGTAGTGCCTCTATTTCTCTATAACGAGAGAAAACTGTCATGTGTAATATCACTCTTCTCATTAGCATGTATTGATTAGACAGTAGCCGACGAACCAGAGTTCCTGCCTTGCCCTTTTTCCATTGCTTGCGGACAAGGCACTGTGACATGACCTGTTTACTTGCCCCACTGAAATTTGACAAAAACGTCAGTAAAAATAAGGCTGTGGAATTCAAAAATGAGAGAACATCTATTGCTATAACCATCAAAGGGTCTGTTGTAGCAGAGCAGGAGCCCTGCAGGCAAGGGACAAACAGAACATGCTGTGCTGTGTTATTTAAGACACACACATTGTATATTCATTTACAAATCATGATTTTATTCTGCAAGAGCCCTTAATCTACACAGAGGATAAAAACGTGACTGTGCAAGGGAAATATTCTTCTAAATGATACCAAAAGGAAGTAAAAACTCAGTTGGTCTAGTTTATTTTTAATGTTGACTAATAACATAGGGGGTTATTCACTTAGCTGCCGAAAGCAGCATGGAGATCGGTCGCCTAAGGGGTGGGCAACTCTGGCCCTCCAGGTGTTGTGGGACTACTACTGTATAATAAAGGACTCATATGTACTCATATTATATGTACCTATATCTCTTCTATAGAGCTGACTCTGTCACCTGGAATCCTCACAAAATGATGGGTGCATTACTTCAATGTTCTGCAATCCTCCTAAAGGAAAAGGTAAAATGCTAAATGTTATGAAATAGTGGTGACTTGTAACACATTTTAAATATCGCTGCTATACTCCTTTTTCACAAATAAAATTAGGTCCTTAAACCAGCCAATGGTGCTGAGTGTATCTGATTTTTGTCATGGCATTCATACTATTCTGGAAAGCTCTGTATCTGAAACTGAACAAATGCAGATTAGTGTGTCCACTGGTTCATGTGTCCCCCTGCCTGCGAGCCCTCTACAGCCTCACCCGCACACAACGCAACACCGGAAGGTTGTATCATTTGTCAAGAGGCTGCAGTCCTGCCCTGGAGCATGAATAATTAAAGATCTGTCAGCACCAACATCACATTAGGTATTCAGAACAAGCATTGTGAAATACATAAAAAGGCTTTGTTGTTACGCTCCAAAATATTTTCTTACTTTTAAAAAGACTGCATATCCCTGCCTCTTCTGAGTGGCAGCTTCTGCTGTTTTTTGTGCTTTTGGGTCATCTTATTTCGGGTCATCTCCCACAATGCTATATCCATATGTCACCTGCAGATGGGCTCCAGGCTGTATGAGAGGCTGGCAAGGTATAGAGGTTGGTGGGGGGACTATAGGGATGAGGGTGAGGCTGTGAGGGAGTAGTGAAAATAAACAATGTACTACTTACTGAGCACAGTGCTTCTGCATCTTTGACTACCATGGGAGACATTAGAAGGGCAGAATGCTTTAAGCCTACATTAAAAAAAATAGTCAGTCAGCAACTGCTAAGATAAACACTTTGATCCTCAGTCCTGAATACTCAGTCCCCTCGTCACATCAGGAGCCCACCTTTACGTCAGGAGACCCCTTCACATCATAGTCCCCCTTCACATCAGGACTCCTACCTTAACATTACGACTCCCCCCTTCACATCAGAGACTCCCTTCCCATCAGAACTGCCCTCTTCACATCAGGCGTCCCCCTTTTACATCAGGAGTCTCCCTTTCACATCGGAGTCCCTCCTTCACATCACAGTCCCCCCTTCACATCATAGTCCTCCCTTTAAATCAGAGCCCCCACGCCCCCTTAACATCATATTCCTTTCTTCACATGAGAGCCCCTCTTTCACATCAAGAGCCCCTCTTTCACATCAGACTCTTCCCTTCACATCAGACTCCCCCTTCACAAAAGAGGCTATGCTACCGATGAGAGGGTCATACAGCATGATTGGTTGTGGGAGGGGGGAGACCAAAGGCAGCATCTTCTGACCTGTAGCCCCAGTGTGTGCAGTCAGTGAGTGCACAGTGGGCCCCATCCACCTCGGGGCCAGTGTGCACTGCACACATTGATGATACGCCACTGTGATGGTTTTTTTGTTGGTTTTATTTAATTTTACTAAACCATAAAAACCAGACAAAACCATAAAGACCAAACTATGGCTAATACAACTTAAAATACATCAAATATCTTTATAAACTACAATATCTGTGTTTACGTTGTCAAGAGAATAACACTTTCAGTAGATGTTTATGGAAGATTACAACATGTCAGTTTTTTTAATTAAGAAAACTGTCTTTACCTAAAATAATTAGTAGCTTGCTGATTACAATGTGAATAATAATATTAATATTAACCATTGTCATTTTTTTTTTCACTAGGGAATTCTTCAAGGATGCAATCAGATGTGCGCAGGGTATCTCTTCCAACAAGACAAGCAGTATGACATATCATATGACACAGGAGATAAAGCAATACAGTGCGGTCGCCATGTAGATATATTTAAATTCTGGCTCATGTGGAAAGCAAAGGTATAAGTCCATATAGATTTTTTTTTTTTTAACTAGAGGCAAATTTTACATTTCCAGGAAAAAAGTTCAGTTGATGAGTTCACATGACAGTTTCAGTGTTTACTTGTGTATTTCTTCCAGTTGCTGCTTTGTCCCATTTGATGGTGGGAAACTTGTGAACTTTAAAATGAATTTAACAGCAATAATCCTGTCTATGGAATACATTTCAAATTATAATCCTAGAAATGCCACATAAGCACCAGCTACTACATGTTTGGTTGAACTTAGGATCAAATAAGAAAAATAAAAGCAGGATATTTTATTGTTCTTTCTTTCTTTTTCAAACAGGGCACTGTAGGATTTGAACAACAGATCAACAAATGTTTAGAGCTCTCAGAATACTTATACCAAAAGGTCAGCAACCGGGAAGACTTTGAGATGGTCTTCAAAGGAGAGGTCAGTGTCTCAACATTCCCGAATTTAGGAACAATCACAGCATTTATAAGTATAATTATTATAAAGATATATATAATGTGTAACAATGCGGCTAAGACAGTGTTTTTCCAATACAGTGGTACCTTGGTTCATGAACGCTTCTGTTCGCGAACAATTCGATTCGCGAACAGGAAGTTCGGCAAAATGTTGCTTCCATTCACGAACTCCGCTTCGGGTGACGAACACAACCGCAGCTATTTTTCATGCTCTGACACATGGTCATGGCTTCCTCTAGTCGAGATTGCGGTCTGATCACAGTTTGATTGGGTTCACGACCAAATCGGTTTGCGACCAGAATGGCGGAATGAATTAAGTTTGTGAACCGATGTACCACTGTATATCAGGAAAAGTAATGTCCCACAATTCCAATAAAGGATAACAATCCAATAACTGCTATTAATTTGACAGCTAAGTGACACTATAAGCCATTTTCTCTTTTGTGGCTCAACCTATTCTGTAAAATGACTGTCCTATATTGACCAATTGCTAAATTACAAAAAAAAAACAATTATGAGTAGTCAACAGAAAATATCAGCATGTTAAGGATATCTAATCAGTGCTATATATTTTTAACAGTTTGAAATACTTAATATGATATACACTGAGTCGCCAGATTATTACGACCACCCCATCAGTACTTCGTTGGGCCATGAGATGACTCCGTTGGGCCGCCTCGTGACTCCACGAGATGTTGAAAGGTGATGCGAGGAATCTGACACTGCACTGTTGCCCTTCTGTTGTCTTGTACCAGTCTTGTCACTCTCTGTTCTGCCCTAACATTGACTAGTCGCTGACGGCCACAATTCGCACGTTCACACCCAGATTTTCGGCTCACAGTCCAGTCTTTAAACACTATAACAACAGTTGCTCTTGAACATTTAACAAATTCTGCTGTTTTGCTGATACTCGCTCCATGGCTCTGAGCGCCAACAATCATCCCACGTTCAAAGGCTGTTAAATTGCGTTGTTTACCGATATCTTCAGAAAAAAATCACTTCTACTGTCGTAGTAAACAACCTGCTTCCCTATTTCTAATGGTCTGGCCCTCTAGCAACTTCAGCGTGAAATTATAGCTAATTATAGCTAATTTGCCTACAAACGTCAGGTGGTCATAATAATCTGGCCACTCAGTGTATATTCAAAAACTACCAAAAAAGTCTACACTTTTTACTCCAAAATCATTTATTTAGGATACACTTCCTCCATGTTACTTTTTTTGAATAACCAGAACATTGCTGTATATATTCCAGCCTGAGCACACAAACGTTTGCTTCTGGTATATCCCTCCAAGTCTTCAGGGAATGCCTCATTGTGAAGAGAGGCAAGAAAAATTACACAAGGTGAGACATTATCCAATCTGTGATAAGGTATTGTAACATTTTAGACACCACTAAAAAATGCATAGACCTCGGTATGGATAAAGATGTGGTATAATCAGAGTTCCTAGACAATATTATATAAAGGCATAAACTGACAGAATACAACAATATACAATAATGGATCAATTCATACAAAACTAATACAGGGCTGGAGATGTAAGCCACCAAGAAATTTCTTAAATCATTTGGGAGTCTGTATTGGTGAGCTCTCTGTGTTTGAGTTCCCAGGTGTGCATACCTGCTGTAGCTATCATAAATAGATCCCACTCTACTTTTTTGCTTTATATTATGTCGAATGTAACAGGATTTGGGACACACAAAGGTGGGTGATAACATCCAAAACTCCTAGATGGACAGGAGTCAGAATTTATGGAAGGGAATCTTGTTGGAGCATCCAAGATATATAAGAAGCCAAGGTCTGACTTATCTTACCAGCCCCCACCTATAACTAAAATGTTATTTTGTGTGTTGACTGATCCAACAAGATGAATTCATAGTTCATAATGTGTAAGATCAAAGTGTTTCGTATTTACAGTGTTAGCAGTAATGCCAAATAGTGAGCCAGCCACGCAATTCTATTGACGCCCAATTAAACTCTTATATAAAACTGTGACAATAGACCTAAAGCCAGCCCATCAGCAAAGCTCATGCTCCCAGCTGAGTGGAGAGTTCCAGCATGGACTCATAGGCAGCATGTTGGACCGCAGTAGTGAAGGCCACTGCATATCCACAGAGTGTAGCCGTGTTGTGTAAGCTGTTTTGCATGCCATGTGGGGACAGAACTTTTACTATGGCTGTGAGCTGCTTCACCATATAAATATATAGTAAGACTCTGGTCACTTACGCCTATACTGAACAGGAACTGGTCCTTAAAGGAGAACTATGGGGTTAAGGCTTTTCCCATAGTTCTCCGTTACCCTAGGCTCAGTATACCGCGAGCTGTAGCTCGCGGTATACTGAGACGCAGCAGTATACCGCAATACAATTATGCCGGGATCCGCCCAGCTGCGTGACTGACAGCTGGCTCTGCCTATCTAGAGGCAGAGCCAGCTGTACCTGCCCCCTCCCCCGCCCGTTCCGCCAGTCAGCGCTGGCGGATCGGAGCAGGGAGGGGGAATCCAGCCCCTCCCCTGTCACGGCAGAGAGCCGTGACAGGATCGAGAGGTGAGCGAACGCCGGTATGTGTTCGCTCACCTCCCGATCTACTGAGTCGACCTGCGACAGTCTCATTGTCACAGGTCGGCTAGAACTATGAGGTGAGTGAAAAGCACTCACCTCATAGTTCTCCTTTAAAAATAGATACATAAATAAAATGGAGATCATGCATTGGTGCTTATCTTTGAGGATCAGAGTTGGTAATCACTGCTGTAACGCAGTTTTACACATATGACAACATTACAACCTTTGCCATGTCTAGATACCACCTATGATTATCATAATGATGCCCCATTATCCCTGGGTTTTCAGGTTCAGATATTTCTCTTGCATGTGCATACTGTGCATACCCTCGGATGGTTGAGATACAACCCGTTGAGGCAGCCAGGATGTAAATGGGACTTTACTCTTTCAATTTGGTGACTGCAGTCCATTAAAAGGAATCTTCAGGTCTAGTATAAGTGTGTTAGAGATATCACCCAAGCAAGTATATTCTCCAACAAAGAAAGCTACCATTTCAAATAAAAAGTGGCTGTAGCCTAATGTAGTTCTGTTAAAGTATGAACTGTATTATCTGTGCTTCTAGACACAGAATGAATTAGGGAGGAAACTGTAGCAGTATCTTTAATTACCATTGATGTAAGAGTGACAAAAAGATCAAGAGATAGGCAGAGATACAGAGAGTAGAGAGAGAGAGAGAGAGGCTGTACATTCTGTTTTTAACCTCTTCCAGATATGCTCATGACTAAGGAGAAACAACAATGTGATCCTGCCTTTCATTCTCTCTATAAGTTAACCAAGTGGAAGGAACAACTTTAAGTTCCTAATTTAGAGGAACTACCATATGAAGTCCTTGACTTTCCACCTTGGTTACGGGAGTCAATTATGGTGGAGAAAAAAAGTCAGGGTATTCCACTCATAGAGATACTGTTGCATTCATAAAGAGCTATGGCAATAAGAATGGACTTTGTCTTATTCATACTGAAAGCTATTAGTGTGAGAGCACCTCAAGCAATTGTCTAAATGTTTTTTTTCAGTGCATTGTCTTTGCTTACAAGTTACAGCTAATATCTATGTGTGACTTTTTTCTTCGTCATTTGTTTAAGGTTGCTCCAAAGATAAAAGCCCTCATGATGGAATCGGGAACAACAATGGTTGGATACCAACCACAAGGGGACAAAGCCAACTTCTTCCGGATGGTCATCTCAAACCCAGCAGCCACCAAATCTGACATCGATTTTTTGGTGGATGAAATTGAGAGACTTGGGCAGGAATTGTGATAGTTGTGCCATGCACAGTTAACCCTCCCTGTGCTGGGGAAAACTATCCTGCCTCCCAGTTGGTTGACTACTAGTTATATATATATATTTTTTTGTGGATGAACACAGAACAGAAGTCTTAAGACAATCCCCTCAGTACAGTTCTCCTCTGGCACCTTAACAAATGTAGAATACAGAAAACTATATGTACATCATTCAAACACAAATAATATTATCTAACTTGTATACAGTGAATCCTTATATACATGTGTTTGTTAAGGTTGTCAGAAGCATACAAAAACAAGGTAACTGAGTGTTGTAATCTGTAACCACTTGTATGTCTGTGTGTAAATATTTGCAGTATGTACAGGGCCGGCCCTTGACATAGGTAACATAGACCATTCCTTATAAAAATAAATGCTGAGAGAGCAGGATTCCTAGATTACCAAATGGTAATCAGGCTCCTTACAACCATTCCTATATTTTTGAGACAATCTCAATTCTCAAACCCCTCAAAGGCAGGGCCTACTGAGAATGGGTGGGGTTCAACAGAAATATAGGTGGGGATGGTGGATTGGAAGATGAGCTTATATTTATCCTAAAATCAGATGATGCAATTCTGCAAAGGATAAGTAGAAATAGTGTTTTTCCAAACCCAAGGAGCACATTGACTGTCAGTTACAACCATGATAATTTGTACTCTGCATTGGCTGGCAGGGCAGTGCAGGGGAGAACCTAGGTTTTTGCTTTAAGATAATAAATATGAACTCACTTGGGTCACGTTATCGGGATATCAATATACTTCTTAAACTGTCCCGGAAGCAGAATTGTTTCGTTTGGGTAATGAGGGAGTTCATTAATATTTTTTAAATCAGCCCTTAAGATCCTTAAGATAGCTTTTAACATAAGGCTTTGGTTAGATGACACAGGCAGCTGTGCTAGAACAGGGCTTAGGGCATTTTCACCTGTTACAGGGTCAATGCTGCTTTGGGGCTTGCAAGGGATGAAAATCACATAACAAAGTACAGCCCTGACAATAGGTATAAAAACGCTGTACAAGCATTGTTATGGTAACATAGTAACGTCACTGAACTATAAAAAACACATAAGGTGCTACAGCTTAATGTGTAAGAATATATTAAACCTACTTTGTTGAGTGTTGGACTAGTGGGTAACTTGTAGTATCCTTTTATTGCATCATTAAAACTATATTCAAGCTAAAATGCAACAACATTAGTTTGTATCCATTCAATTGTCCACATGGGTTGATTAAATATTCTATGATTATTACAAGTATACCCATACATATATAAGTTTTACTATATGCAAAGAGCAGTCATAATATATAAAGTAAATTGCCCCATGGCAACTAGTCAGAAACCATCTTTCTAATAATCCGTATACCGTAAACTAGAATAATGTGAAGCACAATGAATCTCAATGATTGGCAGATGCTACTGTGCTTTGCATTATCATTATTAATTGCTAGGTAAACTCTTCTATATTCAAGCTGACTAAACAAAGCAGTCTAACTAGATGGAATCCTGCTTAGCAGCATTTAAGCTCCTCAAAATTATTTCCTCATAATCTAACCAGTCTGAAATGCATTAGCCAGTAAATAGTTGTGTATCCCCTTCTTAGTGTTTTGGGGGTCATAGTAGCACAGTACTTGTAACAGGTATATTCTTGCTGTATTTCTAGGAATTCTTTTGTGTAGATCGTGTACATTATTGTCAGACAATTTTGTGAGCTGGGAATACATGTCATAGTTTTACAGCAATTTAACTGTTAGGCTATAGGTATGACGAAGATTCTTGCTTATTTATATGCAGAGATTTACTGTGTTAAAGAACCATATAGTTGATCCTGTATCTATAATCTAGTGCCCTGAAATGTAGTTTGGAAATATAAATATATACCTAGGTTTATCAAAGGGTACTGAGATTTAGCTCTTATTCATGCTCATTTGCATGGAGGGGGTAAGTGATTTTGAATAATGCCCCCTTTGAAAAATCTAGTATGTAGGCTCATAAAAATATACATATATATATATATTCACTACCCTAGCACTTTAAAGCCATCAGCATTGAATTTCATTCACTTTGCCCAGCTAGCTGGTTCAATTTAAACAATTAATTTAGAATATATTTTTATTTGTTTGCCTTTAAATAACACAGGCATGCACTCACACTGAAGTCCCACACTGAAAGTACCACCTTTTGTTGGCTTTATTAAACTTTTCGCCATCCAAAATGGTCATCAGGGTAAAAATAAATTATGTTGCTGGGTTGCATTGGCATAGGAATTTAGGTTGCAACTTTAAGTATATTTAAACTAAAAATCTTTTCTCAGTATGTTGGCATCGTGCCTCACAGTAAACCGTTTTCTTAAGCAATTTTTGTGTGTGTTTCTGTTGCAAAGTTTCTTACCGGGATATCCTGCCAGTAACAGCACTCCCAAGTGTTGGCAGACATGGGTAAGCCACTGCCTCATAATAAGAAGCTGTGTTGTCAGCCTGTTGGCCTTGGTTGCACTCCTTCAGCTGGCTGTTAGGCAGCCTGTTGGGTCTATCAAATAGGCACCCCAATGGCTAAATGAACGAGCCTGCACAGCAGGGTGACAATGCTAGACTGCTGCCTTGAATTTAGCAGCAGCATTATCAGGAGGTGCTGATAATGGTAGGATCTCCAAGTAGGAAACTTTGCAACAGCCCTATACACTGAAACATAAAGCCAAACCATTGTTTATTTTCCCAGGCATATTCAATAAGGCAGCGCAAAAAGCAAAGTGGAAGTGCATAGCAGCCAATCAGATTTAAGCTTACCGACTGACAAAATCATTTGAACAGGTTACTGTGGGCAGCTGCACTGAATGTGGCCTTACTGAAAAAGTGATTATAATTGAAAAAAATTCAGAACAATATAATAATCACCTTGAATGCAATGGGGGATGTTTAGAATGTGTCACAAATATTTTTCTCGTTATTCCTGTTTTATTTAACAATAGCAAGATATGTAAAATCTAGTTTGTATATTTATCGTTCATATAAGTCTAATTTACAACAGCAATAATTATGAGTTTGTATATATGTTTCACTGACAGTTCACTTATTTTGCTTTGTATAACTCCCCTATTGAGTCACCAGAGTTGCTAAGTCTAGATTCATCTGTGAAGGCCAGGCAGCTTCAGTGCACACTTTTGAGTTCACATGTCTGTTCTTATGGTGCATGATGCCACTGCAGTAGCATCATGCACTGAAGTCAACTTGTGCCCTATGCTAAAATAATAAAGACTCATAAACTGTACTATACTGTACTACCATGTGCCTCATTTATCAGTCTGTCTAAAGGAAGAATTGTTTACGAGAGCCTGTGTTCACATACTAGTTTATCAAATTCTTCCTCCCAATCTCCAATACTGCACTGAGAAGAAGGATGTATTGCTGAATGGTAGCAAGCAATAGGCAAGTCTAAATAATAGACAATTTGTATCTAATGCTAGTTGAACACTCATTAATTGTTCAGTGCGGTCCATTTTACTATTGGCCACACCATTCAGTCCATATTACTACTGGCCACACAGCGTAGTCAATTTTACTATTGGCCACGCTTGTGTTAATACAATGTTTCAATCACCTTTTTATTACTGAGATGTCAAAAAACTGCCAATACTGAAAATCCTAATTAAATACATTTCAGTTTACTCTAGGTTTGATTAGAACTGATCAAAAATTATATGAAATGATAGAAATTACTAGAAAGTAAGTTCAAACCCATAAAAACAAATCCTGTTCTGCCTTAATGCTGGATCTTTGTTTCAACTACACAAATTTGGAAGCAATACAAAGAACATTGTGAATGCGTCAAAGTTTGTTAGATACATTGGTCGAATCAATCATCTGGATAGGTTGTACAACCAGATGGTAATGTGTGTGAGCACCTTAAGGGCTCATTTACACGGGTGTTTGAATGGCGTGCATGCCCATTCAGAGACCTCCTGCGGGAGAGACAGGTCTGCGTGTAATTGTGTGCAGCCAGCCACCTATACCTCCTTAAGGGGACGTCTTTGTAGGTCCTGGTGCCAGGTTAAAATGTGCGTCCAAGTGTGGACACCCGGACCTGCATGGTTGTGCAGGTTCAGGTCATGCAGCAGCGCGCAATTACATGCAGCACCTGTCCATCCCCGAAACAGGCCTTTACATGGGCATGCACGCCATACAGATGTGCACGCCTGTGTGAATGAGCCCTTAGCCACGTTGATAAATGAGGCCCACTACCACTAGTTACTTGAAATGAAATGTGCATGGAAAGAAAAAGCAGACATGGATCTATACATCAATAAACAATGTTCAAAAATGTTCTTTAGTTTATTGTCACTTTAGCTCACTTTCTTAAGTTCCCACCATGTTGCTATGTATAATTTTGAAATTTGCCCATGGCAGTGCTTGCTCCAAATAAGACTAACCCGTTATCCCAGGAGCATCTTTCTTTTATCACATAGTAGGATTAACTGCCACTTTTTTCTTTTTTTTCTTAATGGGTAATATATATATAAATCCAAACTAAATTTTGGCACAATCACTTGACCGCCATTGTTACTGTTATTCGTTGCCAGTCACAAACAATATTAATGGAACGATAAGCGATCACCCTGTTTTTACCATTACATAGCCCTCATCACGTCAAACTGTGTTGTGTGTTGTAAATTCACAAGTGTCAAACGTCTCCTGAAGTTTTCCTGGTTGTGACAATCGTGTGTCAGTCGTTCAGTATCTTGTCGAAAAGGTTTGTTTATTACCATTCATACAGAGCACAGTAGTCCTTTCCTGTTAGATGAAAGCACACAGTGGTTCTATACGTATAAACAATAATACTTGTACAGATTAAGTGCCAATGTAGAAAAAAATTATTTAACACAATTTTATTGTTGCTGTGGATTGATCAGTCTGTAACAATTATTAAATGATGATAAAGAAGCAAAATTAAGATATATATAAGTATTTTAGAGAGTTGTTATCAATGGTGGGGTGCTAAAATATGCTTTCTTATTTGGTAAACCAGTTCAAAGAGCAATGATGATGTAAAAGTGCAGTAACCCATAGCAACCAATCAGATTACAGTTCAGTGTAATTAGAGTGATTTGGGATTAGTCATTGTGGCTTAGTGCACTTTTTGCAGACCTCCCCAATATCGAAGAGGGCTTAAAGTGAAACTATGACCTCTTATCCTTTACAGCCAAGGAAGTTGCCATCTTAGCCTCTATTTGAATTGCAGTTGTCATGGTTCTGCACATGTGATCAACTATCAACCAGCCATTTGAGGGCTCGAAACTATTGAGAGCTCATTGGCAACGTTGACAAATAGCATGCCTTAAAGGTAACTGTTTTGGGAAACCATTACATTGGTGGGTCTAGTTATGTTTTAATTATGGTCACCCTTTGGTATTTGGGGGGGGGGGGACAAAGTTAAGCGCCAAATGGAAATGCATGGAGATATATACAGATCATTGAAGACATACCAAAGCCCTGCCCAAACCCAAAGCATGCCCAGATCCCGATTGCTTATAAAAGCCACCTTGTGCTTATAATATTAGTAAGAACCTGTGAAATAACCATGATGTTGATATCAGTGGTTCCTGCTGAACATTGAAAAATGCACAAAAGTTGGCCTGCTGTATACAGTTGCCTATAGGAAGAACTGCTGTTGCCCATTACATGCAAACTGATTGGCAAAAAAAAGC